AATAGGATACAAAATGAAGAAGGTGAATGGCTGGAGCAACAATCGGATATTGTAGAAGCGACAGTGGAATTTTATATCGAACAGTTCACTAGGCAAGAAGAAGTTTGTGAAGACTTTGGGATGCTAGAGGAGTTGCCATTAGTAATCACAAGTAATATGAATGAGAAATTGGAGGCCATGTCATCATTAGGAGAAGTAAGGAAGGCAAACATGGGGTTGAATAAAAATAGTGTGGGAGGACCAGATGGATGACAGGGGTGTTCTACAAGGGCACTTCGGAGAGGATATACACAAAATGGTTAAGGCCTTTGTATGTGGTGCGGAACTGACTAGATATATCACACATACAAACTTGGTTCTTATTCCAAAAAATGTGGCACTCAATACATTTTCGGATTTGGGACCCATTTTACTGAGCAACTTTGTGAATAAGATATTCTCGAGAGTAATCCATGAAAGAATCAAAATTGTGCTACTATGATTATTTCTCTCAAGCAAACGGATTTTGTTTAGGGAAGAAGTATAGCTGAAAATGTGTTAATATTGCAGGGGATTGTTTCAGAGATAGGGAAAAGAGGGAAAACACCTAATCTAGTTATTAAGCTAGCTATGATGAAGGTGTATGATAGAGTGGAATGGATGTATTTAACCAAAGTACTAAGAAGGCTAGGATTTGGGGATAGAATCATTGATACGGTGTATAGAATGATTAGCTATAATTGGTACTCAATTCGATTGAATGGAAAGTCGAAAGACTTCTTTAAGCCATCTAGAGAACTTAAGAAAGGGGACCTTTTATCGCCTACTCTATTCATACTGGCGTCAGAAGTTATGTTGAGATCTCTTAATTCTCTCATGCATAAGAAGGAATTTAAGAGGTTAGGTATGCCAAGAGGGAGTAAAAAGCTAAATCATATGGCGTTCATGGATGATATGATCAATATATGCAAAGTGGATATGGGAACAATGAACATGATGGGTGAGACCCTGAGAAAGTATGAGTAGATCTTTGGACAGAAAGTGAAAAAAAAGAAGATAAAAGTGCAATTTACATGCACCATAGAGTAGGGGGTGAAGAAGTAGTGGTAGAAGTGGTTACCAGAATTCTGATAAAGGATTTTCCTTTTACATACCTAGGATGTCCTATATTTTACAAAAGGAAGCAAAAAGTGTATTACCAGCAATTGATTCAAAGGATAGCGGCAATGATACAAGGATGGAGAGGAAAGTAGTTGTCATATGGTGAAAGGGCGATACTAATAAAACGTGTATTGCACAGTACTCCTATTCATTGTTTATCAATGATGAATCCCCCTATTAATGTATTGAACCAAATACAAAAAGTGATGGCTCAGTTCTTTTGGAGCAGCTACAGTGGAGGAAGAGGAAAACATTGGAGTAGTTGGAGTAACTTAGGCCTACCTGAGGAAGAATGAGGATTGGGTTTTAGAATTATGTGGGACATTTCGGCAAGTCTTTTCTACAAGTTATGGTGGAATTTTTTTAACGAAGAAGACACCTTGGAGTGACTATATAATGAACAAATACCGTAAGAAGAAACACCCTAATTTTATATTTGGAAGATTGGATGGGGAGGCTCACAAATCTGGAAAATAAAATGTTGCAAGCTAGACAGCTAGTTGAACATCAGATCCTGTGGCAGCCAAGGCGAGGTTCATCAATTGTATGGCATGACAACTGAACAGGAATGGGAGATTTTTACACTATCACAGAGGATCTTACCAAGGAGAGAGAATGGGATGAGGAAATAGTGAAGGAGATATTACCAGCATAATTGGCTGAACATATCTTGTGTCACATTAAGCCTCCTCAAGGGAGCACTGAGGAAGACAAGGCTAGATATATGTTATATACAAATGGAATCTTTTCAATCAAGTCAACATGGAATTATATTCGGCATAAGGAGGAGCCTAATCGAATATACAAATGGATATGGACCAAAGAAGTACCATTCAAAATGGCATTTCTAATGTGGAGACTCTAAAAATTTAAGATCCAGGTAGATAATAGAGTGAGGAGATGGGCCATTGTATGTCCATCCCGATGTCGGTGTTGTATTACACCTGGTCAGGAGACACTAACACATGTGTTCCTAAGGTCTGATTATGCTAACAGGACTTGGCCCTATTTCTCTTCCTTTGCATTATCAACATAGCAGGACTATCTCTAAGAGTAGACATTATGTAGTGGTTGGGAGCAAACTGCAGATATGATGGTAGACCATACTATAGAGCTCTTCCAAGCTTTATTGTATGGGAACTATGGAAAAGAAGGAATGGGATAAAACATGAAAGGAAAAGCCTATCAATACCAAGAATCATTCTCGCAGTCGACAACATCTTCACCATCTAGAGTAACGATGAGTCGAAGAACACCGTCCATTGATGGGTGCTGAGGCCCCATATTGACTATCATGAGGTCTTTTCTTGTAGTTGGTGCAGTCATAAGTTTTTTAACGATTCATTCTTCCATGAATTACTGAAAGTGAAAAGAAGTTCATCAAAATTTAATCGAAACATATAAGTGAAAATGAAATAACTCTTCAAATTAATCAACCAGGAACATGTATATGTTGATAAAGGTAAGAAGGCCAAGCATGAAGTGTTCAGGAAGATGGGTAGAAATGATCAAAGAACTAGAGGAGTATAACACACATTTGAAGACTAAGCTGGGCAAGTGGGACTATTCGCTTGAAAGGTGGATTAAATACAATACTGATAGGGCTTCTAAAGGAAACTAGTGCTTAGCTCATATGCATTTGCCTAAGGGATAATAGAGGGGATATTATTCATGCAGAGGGAACAAATATTGATAATGCTACAAGCATAGAGGCAGTCATAGAAGCAAGCAGACATTACATGCATATGAATTACAACCAAGTCATCATACAAATAGACTCTATGCAATTGAAAAATAAACTTAACAGGGGAGTGGGCAGTACCTTGGAATATATATGATTCAGTTGAAGAAATAAGGTCGTGCCTATTTGGAAAACAGCACACCTTCCGACACATAATGAGGGAAGGAAAGCACTTAGCTGATTATCTAGCAAACAAGGCTATAGAGAAGGGTAGCTACATGTACACAGATTTTAAAAAGTATGGATGCACAAGGAAGAAGGATAATACATAGCGAAAATTTAAACATCTCATATCTGTGAGTACCACCATGAAGGGGATAGTGGGAAGGGGTAGGCAATAACAAAGATTTCACATATACACCATCATTTACAAAATGCCAAAAAGGAAACTGAAATGTGAAATGCACCCTAGCCTAGGCTATTTCAGCCAGTAAAATGAACTCGGCAAAAAATGAGTTGTGATCAATTGGGAGCGCTTAAACCTGGAAGGACACTTAACCATTTGTTTGAGGAGGTGCAATGAAACTACCCTTGCACTCCATTCAAGCACCACTTGCAAAAAAAAACAAAAATCTAAGGAGGGCGAACGAGAGCAGTAGAGGTCGGAGGACGAACCAAGTGATTAAGAACCCTTCCTCTAAACAAGATCCACTAAGCATGAGGCAACATTTAGGTTACTAGATAACACAACCATATAAGAAGATAAGTTAAAAGGTGGAAACACAGATCCAAAGACTAAGACAAAAGAAGTATACTTACTCTTGTGAGTTGAACATTGTGAGGAACAACTCAAAGTAAGAAGAGGCGAAGCAGATGATTTCGCCACAACGACAGGTGGGGGTTGATGATATTAGGGAAAGAGGTGTTGAGGAAGCCCTACTCTTAAGGAAAGTGTATATAGTGAGGGAGATTCAGACTATGTTCGAAATGGGCACCCCCTTTTTTCTTGTTTGTTTACGTGTTTTCCTTTGCTATGTTTCTTGGATTTGGGCAATAGTCCCAAATGAGTGATTACCTTTTAATTTATTTCAATAAAAGGCCTACATTATCTAAAAAAAAACTCATCTTCATGATGTGTGTGTAGGTATTGTTCATTATGTTATCTTTTTTAGATTCAAGTTGTTGGCTAGAGGTAGCCATAGTGTTGTGGTTAGAGGTAGACGAAGTGTGTTGTGGTTAGAGGTAGACGAAGTGTGTTGTGGCTAGAAGTAGCCATTGCTATAATAGAAGTAGGGTTAGCTGATATAGTGGGCAGTAAGAATATTTCTTAGTTGACCTATAATAGAAGTATTACAAGCGGAAGGGATTAAGTGTTTTGATTCTTAGATTGCATAGGGTTCTAATCTAAATCTTGCCTCGTGTTTAGTGGAGTTACTATTGAAAGACTATGTGGTAGGTCATGATTTTGAGATTAGGGAGGAATCAAATCTCAAATCAAGGGTAAAATGAGATGATAAATGTTATAATACTTTTTGTCTTTGTCTTTGACTCAATTTATATGATGGTACTTGAATGAACACAAATGTTAAAAATTGAAAGGAATATACTTGAAACAGGGTCTAAAACAAGTCTAAATTATTTCATAAGCAATAAATAAAAAGTTTAAAGTTAAAATATCACTAATATAAAAGTAAATCATTCGGTAACCAAAAATTTATTTTTTATTCCATCAGGGGCACAAAGGTTAAAAGGGCTTCAACCTCATCTATAAACAAGGCCTCATTAGCATAGGACAAACCATTTAGTAGAGTACAAGTACCAAAAACCTAATAACGATGGCTATTACATAAACCAAATCAAATACTAATGGTTCCTATCTTATATATATACACAAATTAAAATAAAAAGTATTCCATCTCGATCATGACAAGGAAAAGGTCAAACACCTAAGTAGGCTCACAATTGATTGTGTGACTCGAACATCATCATTATAATAATATGCTATATATCATCGAATAACATGCTTTTTCCCTGAGTTTCGATCGATACGTCTAATCCAACATTTGGCATATTTTCCAACTTGAGGTCTCGATCATGACAAGGAAAAGACCAAACATAGCTAAGTTATGCTCTCAATTGATTGCTTACTTGGACACCATCGTTATAATAACTCTGTGATTCATCGTCGAATAACATGCTCTTCACCTGAATTTCGATCGATATGTCTAATCCATCGTTTTGCGTATTTTCGAACCTTCTGATTTCCATCTTTACTTGCTATATAAGCAATCTCCAATCCATTCCCAAATGGAAGTGTCACTGATCTCACAACACAAACTTTTCCATTAAGAACAGTATCCCAACTAAACTTGTTACTATCTATATTTCTTATTTTGCTTCCATCTTTGCACACTAAAATAGCACCATGATGACTCAATTTAGCACTGTTAAAGATTGAAATAAAGTCACTTCTCCTCTCATCCACAACCAAAAATTCAACTCCATTTAGCCTTTCCATCACCTCTTTTGCCTCTCCCACCATCACTTCTGGTAACGCCACACCTGAATTTTGCATGGCGCCTACATATTCCAGTCTTGACTTTTCGTCTGGCACCACACATACGTACCTACACTTAAAATTCAGGATTTTGTTACATCAATCAATCCAGTGACGGAGTCAGAATTTTCAATAGTTAATACACACAAAGAAGTCAAAGGGATTCAACAGTTATTGTACATATATAAACAAATATAATTTTTAATCATGTATAAACAATGTAATGTTTTTGCCCAAAGAGGTTCAGATGACCCCCGCGAGACTACCTAGCTCCACCCTTGAGTCAACCTTCAAATTTATAAAAAGAATAGCATATTTATATATTTAAAAATAACCTGACTGGTAGATATTATTCACGCTTCCATAGGATTAGTAAGAGAGGGATAACTCCCTTACTTGTACTTTTTTCATTAAGTTCGTTTTTATTATATAAAAAAAAAGAAGAAAAAAAACTAGCCGTAGACACCTTGTCGGGTGGATTTGCTTATACAAGAAAAAAGAAAAAAAAAAACTAACTTTGAAATTCGATTTTATTACCCTCAGAGAGATGATCCATAACCACGTAAATGTCTAAGAATTGACTTAGACAACAAATTTTTTGTCTATATTGAAAAAATTTATTTAATGTTCGATCAAATGAACTCACATGAATTGAAACAGATAGAAACACCTAAATCTACATACCTTCCACGATTGTGTTTTATCGCGATGGCTAGGCCGATGCTCGTGGCAATCGACCCACCATTTATCTTACTATCACGTTTCCATGCTTCAACTGTTAATTTCGCGTTGTATCCTGCAGCCATAGCTGATAAAAATTCCGCTACACTGGATTTCGTTGAAATTCCACACTGTATATATAAATAAAATTCAAAATATCAATAAATAAAAAGTAATTCACTATCAGGTGATCCTAAAGACCTAATCAATGAGATTTGGGGCGGTAACGTTCTTCATGAATGAAAAAAAAAAAAGACAAATATTTTGTTACGTACTGTTTGTATGGTGTCAAGATAGGCTTTTGAAGCTGTTTCAGGAGACCAAACTAGCTTCATCTTTTTCTTCTAATACCTTTGTTTGTGTTTTTCAAAATATGAAAAAGAAAAGATGGTTTTGACAAATAATGTATTGCTCCTTTTAAATACAAATTTGAGATTTATATTATAAGGTTTTAACATGACTACTAGTTGTTCTCAAGGAATAGTTGACATTTTTTTTTATACACAACTACTAGTTGCAGCTCAATAGTCTATGAATGTTTATCTAACTTTATATTCCTTCAATTGCAAATGGTTTGTCTGATTTAGAGTTGATACGAAATTTAAAAAGTATAAATTTTTCTTTTGAATCTTATGATCTTCAACTACGAATATGTAGAACATAGCCAAATATCAATTAATCTTGGGATTTTAAACATATCTGGTTAAAAGTTGACATTAAAAGACTATCATTTTCTTTTTAAAAATAGACTAAAAAGAAAAGTGAAACAAACAAATCGAAACGGAGAGAGTAAATGTTTTAGTATTGTGCTCATTTTCCAATTTCTTTTTATTTTAAATTTGTCATGACTTTTTATTTGGTGTTGACATTGAGATATATAACATTGAAGTAGTTAACAAGAATCGTGATCTACCAATATGATTTTTGTTTTTCAAATGTAGATAGTTTGTCGGCTTGCATGAACTTATTATATAATATGATCTATAAATTTAATTTATATATGTCAAGTTGGAAATAATCAAAATCTTATCTGCTTATACATAGGTTGCCGTACTTACAATCTACATGTAGTACAACAACTTAAATTACAAGGAGTGAGAAATGAAAAATACAAATGGATGTGGCTAGTTGTACTTGTTTATGAAAGTCAACTTCTCTATCAAGTGGAATAAATCTAACCTATGAATATTAAGAAAATGTAACTAATGGCACGCACGCTATAAGGAAGAAATTGCTCTATTTCTTTTGTAAAGGTTATATAGTCTTTTTATAGTCTTAACTATATGAGCACACCAACTTCCCTATCAAGGATCAAAGTATAGAGCCAAGGAGCCACTAGAGTTTCATAGTCATAACTATATGAGCACACGTGTTGGACTAATGAAGTAACCTTTCATAAGTGGGTATCAATATATTTTTTGGTTTTCTACTTGTTCGGTGTTCGGTATCTATATTGGAGTTTGTCTAAATCAGAATTTGTGTCGAAAAATTCCACATTGGGAAGTAAAGCACTCCCTAAAAAAGGCAACTTTGCACTCGGGGGATTCAAACATGAGACCTCTGGTTAAGGATGAAGGAGTACTTACCACTTCATATATGGTACTCCTTTCATTTAAAAAAAGATTGATCAACTTCTTTTATAGTCTGTTTAAAAGATAACCATTTTCCCTTTTTTAACACTTTAATTTCAGCTTTTCATGTTGTAGACAATAAAATTTCGCGTCGAGAAAACAATAATCAAGAACAGAAAAATTATGCAACAATCATTTTATTAATTTCAAAGTGTGAGTGTTACAATCTCTATGATTCCTCTGAATTCACCTTTTCAAATATAAATTCAAGGGCTCTTGTGCTTGTTCTTGAATCTTTGATGAACTTGAACTTTAACTTATCTTGATCTTGAACTTGATCTTGATCTTTATCTTTATCTTGATCCTGATCTTGAACTTTATCTTGATCTTGACTTTCTAGTTGAATTCAAGGGCTTCGAGCTTGATCTTGAATCATGTGGTCTTGATCTTGATCGTTCTTGAACTTTATCTTGATCTTGACTTCTAGTTGAATCCAAGGGCTCCGAGCTTGATCTTGAATCCAGCGGTCTTGTTCTTGATCGTTCTTGATCTTGAACGCTTGAATTCTTAAACTTGTAGCTTGTAGAGAAATTTGTGGCTTTTGATCCACGAGCCTTCTCAAATAGAGGAGTTGTGATAGGAATAGGATTCCCTTCAGTCAATCAAATTTAAGTGACATGGCATATGGGCTTTATAGAGCAGGCTTTAATTAAATCAATTATATTAATCTATAATATTTATTTGGACCAACATATTCATGAATTTAATATAATTCGAATCATTTAATAAATTTATAATTAAATAAATTTTAAATGCTTACAAATGCCCTATGCTTCAAGTCTTATCAAAATGATTTATGTTTTGAAAACTAGGCTTGAAGTATTGACTTAATATTATAACAATTATCATAATATTATGAGGAAGTATTGACTCAATAACATAATATTATTATTATAATATCATAATAATCTCTACGTGTAGACAGAACCATCATTAACTGTCACATGAGACATGTTAAGAGTGGGCTTTAATTTCCGTAAAAGTTGGAGTTTATCCTTTAGTCTTAATGAACAAAGTCAACTAGGAATCAAATGGCTCACTATTTTATTTTATTTTAGTCACAAACAATTTCCAGTAGTCATACACGTCGAATCCTATTAGGAGTCCCTTAGTTACACGGCTTCTAATTTGACTCCAATTAGAACTTGAATGCTTTGTATAATTTATGTTGAAATCCAATTGATATCAGGAACGGTTCTTAGGTCAATGCAAGCACTATTTGTAGTAGGATAGAACCACCGCCTCAAAATCTTATTTTATGATGACATTGAAGTTCAAATTGTAGTTGAAATAGGAATTGTAGTCCCATTTAATTTAAAATTTATGTCCTTTTCTATTGTCCTAGCCAAAAAGGATTTGTAATTGGACTAGGAGAAGAATTTTATTCCCATCACATGATATCTATAAATAGACACATTGTATCAACAATTTTTCTTCGATTACGGATTGTGAGCTACAAGCCTATGACGAAAGGAGCATAATTCAAGGTAATTTTCCTCCCTTTTTCTGATTTTCGTCACCTTTTTTACAGCTTGACATGTCTGTCGTAGAAAATTCATATTTCATTGTAGAAATATCAAAATCATGAAACGTTTGATTTTCCGAAAACTAGACTTCTCGATCTCTAACATATCCAAAATTCAGAATTTAATACATTTTGAATCTATTTAAAATGATTTTTTGAAGTTTGCTCTAGATTCTGCCATGCTGAAAATTTCAGAGTTGTGCGGCTTTACTAAAACTCTCGTGTCTTGATGTAGGAACGACGAAATTACAAGACGCTTGATTATTTCGAATCTAGACACAAAGGTCTTCAACATACCCGAAATTCAAAGTTTAATACGTTTAGAATCTTTCTAGATGATTTTTTTTTAAGTTAACTTTAAATTCTGTCATGCTGAAAATTTCAGATTTGTGTGGCTTTACTAGAACTCTTGTATCTTGATGTAGGAATGACGAAATCACAAGCCGCTTGATTATTTAGAATCTAGACACAAAGGTATACAATATATCCTAAATTCAAGATTTAATACCTTCAGAATCTTTCTAGGTGATTTTTCGAAGTTAAATTTAAATTTTGTCATACAACTGATATTCTTAAGGCGAAAGAGGATAGATACACATTCTCGCCCCAAGAAAGGTAATTTATGGTATTCTTAGGCGAAAGAGGATAGATACACATCCCCGCCCTAAGAAAGGTAATTTATGGTATTCTTAAGGCAAAGCGGATAGATACACATCCCCGCCCTAAGAAAGGTAGCTTTATGATATTCTTAAGGCGAAAGCGGATAGATAAACATCCCCGCCCTAAGAAAGGTAATTTATGGTATTCTTATGGCAAAAGAGGATAGATATAAATCCCCGCCCTAAGAAAGGTAATTTATGGTATTCTTAAGGCGAAAGCGGATAGATAAAAATCCCCTCCCTAAGAAAGGTAACTTTATGGTATTCTTAAGGCGAAAGCGGATAGATAAAAATCCCCTCCCTAAGAAAGGTAATTTATGGTATTCTTAAGGCGAAAGTGGATAGATATAAATCTCCGCCCTAAGAAAGGTAATTTATGGTATTCTTAAGGCGAAAGCGGATAGATAAAAATCTCTACCTAAAAAAGGTAAATTTACGGTATTCTTAAGGCGAAAGCGGATAGATATAAATCCCCACCCTAAGAAAGGTAATTTATGGTATTCTTAAGGTGAAAGCGGATAGATATAAATCCCCTCCCTAAGAGAGGTAATTTATGATATTCTTAAGGCGAAAGCGGATAGATACAAATCCCCGCCCTAAGAAAGGTAATTTATGGTATTCTTAAGGCGAAAGCAGATAGATATAAATCCCCACCCTAAGAAAGGTAATATATGGTATTCTTAAGGCGAAAGCGGATAGATATAAATCCCCGCCCTAAGAAAGGTAATTTATGGTATCCTTAAGGCGAAAGCGGATAGATACACATCCCCGCTTTAAGAGTAACAAAGAGCTTTCTTGACAGCGACCCTTTTTCTTTTTGCTATTGTATGCCCAAGTTTATTACTAATGACCTCCTTTTATGCCTTGTAGTTTGAAGAAATGATGATTTTCAGTCAATACATCTCTCCCTCCACCAGACTTAGGCATCTTATAGTTGAGACTGAAGAAGGGGGAGAACAAATACGATTTTTGACTCATGATCCACTAGTCGGTCGATATGCAAATCAATGGCCTTCTTTGAAAAATCCATTTCATATGGCGAATTGGACTTCGGTGCACACTCATACTTCCAATAATCTACTTAGGTTGTGGTCTCTTCAAGCGCCAGATCATCATCATGCTAATATTGCAACTCATCTTCCAAGTTTAGGTCATCGCATAATTCAAGGCGATATACGATAGGGGAGCACAATGGAAGTTGAGGGAGAGTATCATCACATTCCAGGGTATTGGAAGTGGACTGAGGATATACTTGGTAGAAGCCAAGAGGTATTGAATACGACTCAAATTTATGATGCCATTTATGCATCTTTATTCACTTATGACCATAACTCAAACATTTTTCAAGTGTTCTGTGAAGCTTGGTGTCCAAAAACCAATACACTTCTTACATTTGTCAAAGAATTATCTATTTCTTTATGGGATTGACATATTCTTAGAGGTTTACCAATTTGGGGTTCTCCTTATGAAGAAATAGTGCCTGAGGTCAAGGAACTTGTGGGCACCGATGAAAAAAGGAGCAAATATATTCCTCGAACTTGTGAAT